TGTGCCTAAAGAAATTTCTATTGATCCGTTTAAAAAAAAAAAAAAAAACCTTAAGAAACCCCAAACGCAAAAAAGAAAAGAAAAAGCCAAAACAAAAGGGAGAACCGTCTCCCCGTAGCAGCGGCAGGGACAGGAAAAAAAGATGGTGCCGCTGGAACCCCCCCCTGAAGCCGGCAGCACCAAGAGGACCAATACGGGCGGTGGGTATCTCTTCCACCTCCCCGCTGGCCCCATCCCCCGCCGCCCGCCCCTGCCTCCCTCCCTCCTGCCGCCCTCCCTCCTTCCCGCGGCCCGGACACCTCCTGCCCGGACCCGGCGGCTCCGCGTCCCTGCCTCGCGCCCCCTCCCCTGCACCTGCCCCGCGCCTGGCGGTCCCCAACACATTTCCATTTCAGTGTTTATCATTCATCAAAATGGCGACCAGTTTTTCAGAATAGACCTATCTTTCCGTTTAATCGGTCGAGAGGCTGACCATTTAAATATCCTAGACCTGGGCCAGAGGGTCCTGAGGAGGAGGAGGATGACCCCCGAGTGAGGTGATGGCCGCCCAAAGATGCGCGCTGCATTTAACAGTCTGATAAAATAAATAAATAAATGGCACTTGGGTAGCGGATTGCAAATGATTGGGGCACGGGAGAGTTTTTTCCTCTCTCCATCTCTTTGGGCCACAAGTAGTATGCAAAATCTTGTTGAGTGCTTGCCCTTACCGCACTTATATTGTCGGTGCAAATATCTCATTGATTTGTCTTCAGGGGTGTGCATACGAGGGTGGGGGTGTCTGTTACGGTGACTTGTTAGTTAACATCCTGCGCTTCCTTGGAAGATGAGTTATAACGGGACCGGTATCGCTTCTTCATTTGCACTGGAGTCATCTTAACAATGCACCCAATGCATCGAAGCAGAGGTGAATTTATCTCCAGCATATACATTAGAGGCGGATGGGGGTCTTGTGAGTGGCACACGGCAAAATTTGGAACATTCATTCACATAAGAAAGCTGGATTTACCGGGGTGTTTCGTATTTAAGACATACTCGGGTTGACGGAAATTAAAGTTTATGGAGTTGGCTTTATTTTCTGAAACATTTCATCTTTCTTTTTCTCGGTTCATCATGCCCTCTCTGTTTGAAAAAAATGTGGTTATTTTGGAGAAGGAACATTATCTTTTTGATCACTTTGAAGTGCATTTTATATAAATGACTCCAAAGCTTTTGAGTATTGGCAAGATGCTTCTAAAGGTCCAAATTAATAAGCTTAAAGGAGATCATGGTAGACTAAGAAGTGCTAAAGAAATACACCAGGATTAGTTAGATTTGCCAGTTCACCAGTTTGAGTTGTTTCCTGGCAGTTATTGAAGGCTTGGAATAAACCCTACAGTTTGGGTGGATTATTGGGTAGGAGAAGGGTTGTTTTGCTTACTTTAAGTAGGATAGATGCAATGGCTAATTGTAGTCTTCATGTGTTTGCTAATGACAAACAAATGCAGCTTACCACTATTTGCAGTCCTGGGTTTTCCTTTTTTCTTCTTCTTTTTTTCCCCTTCAGTATGTTAAGTGAAGGTTTGTCATTTTATAAATCTCTGAAGTTTCGTTAAAGGGTCAGTTTATTTCATTTTGCCATAGTAACCACAGATAGGATTGGAAGACTTCCATGTTTGGAATAACAACTGGAATTTAGTCATCAGTTTTTACAGTGCTGCAAAATAGTAGAACATGTTTAGATTTTAATTCCAAGTTTGAGAGTAAATTCTATAAAGTGGGAAACACTTCATACATATTTAGTGTTCAGTGTCAATGGCTTATTTTCATGCTTTAAAATATTTTAACTCTGCATTTCCTGGAGCTATGTGCCCAATGTTTTAGTTGCTGTTTTTCTCTCTGGAGGGTGGAGTGGGGATACAAAGTTTAAAAATACCATGTTAACCAAGTATATTTCTTTGCATTTTTCAGAAGACGGCCAGTATTTTCTAAAGGTTCTCATACCTAGTTATGCTGCTGGATCTATAATTGGAAAGGGAGGACAGACAATTGTTCAGTTGCAAAAAGAAACTGGAGCTACCATCAAGCTGTCTAAGTCCAAAGATTTTTATCCAGGTAGGTGCAATGGTGAAGAGATTGTTTGGTGAATCCCCAAGGAAAGAAGGAGATCTACATGTGCTGTGTGCTGTCTTGAAAGAAATTTTTAAACAATAGTGGACACTTCATTTTATTTACATATTGCTGTATTAGAGTATATTGTGGAAACATTTTCAGATTGTCTTCATTTTGATTATGTCTTTTTCCTATAATTGCTTTATTGTCTATATGATTTAGACCAATTGAAAGTTATTCTTTTGGGTCCTTCCGAATAGTTCTTACTAGGGGAACAAAACAAAACAAAACAAAAACAAAAACACCTCAAAAATTTAAAGATGGAAACCTGGACAGCTGGCATCAAGAAATAGGGTTCTTCTGAAGTTTTCAGACATCATTGTAATGACAATTAGTCTAGAGTGAATTCAGAATGGGGGAGTGGGTAGGGAGGCTTCTTAAAGAATGGACCATTTACTTCTGAATCCATTATGTACCTCTTTCTGCTTCATTGCTTTGTTTGTTGGCCTTGGAATGAAGTAAAAAGGACAAGTGCTGCCTCTTCAGATTTTTAAAATATTGCTGTTTTAATGTAATTGGGATAAGGAAATCTATTAATGTTATGCAAGACGTAAAATAATGCTTTAAAATTGGTGTTACTTAAACCGGGTATTTGATTAACATATATTAACAGTGTGGTATAGTAACCTACTGGACTGTCAAGTTTCCTAGGTGGTATAATTTTTTTTTTTTTTTTTTTTTTTTTTTTTTTTTTTTTTTGTTTTTT